ATTCCATACTATATGAAGGAAAGCCACACTGCTCACTGGAAGCACTCATAATAAAACTGAAGCTTAAACATTTTGAACACATAATATAACAGCAAGAGCCACTCGAGAAGAATCTGGTCCTTAATAAAACTGAAGGCAATTGCAAAAAGTATCAGTAGAAAAATAGGGTGGCTTGATGCTATTACTGATGACACAAGCATGAGCTTATAAGGAGGCAAGCAGTTATTGGCAGACAGTCCTTGAAAAATATCCATGGTCAGAGAGTTGAAAGTACTACAACTGAACAAGAACAAAGAAAGTAACTGAACCAAGAACTTACCAGAATCCAAAGAGGAAATGACCAATGAAATTTGGGGTGACATTAGAAGGATACTATATTGACAAATCTGATACGCCTGCCATGCATTTATCACAAAGTGATAGATGTCATTATAAAAATGTGGGTTGGGCCTATAATGCCGAATTCTTTCTATCTATAGGCCTTTATCTTCTCTCCAAGATTGAGAGGCAGAATGCTCTATTTTTTGACTTTCATTAACTGTTAAGAAACATTTTCTTCTTTCCTAAATTTCCTATTTCTTCCTGTACACCTAGCACTTTCATTTGAACCAGAAAACAATCTAATAGTTTTTAGTCTCCAATGAAATGGTAGATGAAGTTTTTTTTAATTCAATATTTAAAATGCTGAAGTATGTCAACACTGGAAATGGCGTGAGCAAAAGTCTGATAGATATATTTTCCTGATATGAGTTCTAGGGTTAAGTCTTAAAATGAGGATAGAAAGTCTATAATCATAAAAAGTATGGCAGAGAAGCTCATAAAGCTTTAAAGAAAAACTTTGAAGGTTAAGAAAGCAGCACAAAAAGATGGTTCATTTTTTCTATGTTTCTTATTAACAATCTAATCTAATACAGAAGGCCAGGACCACATGGGACTGAGATACCTGCCTTAACTCCTAAATAATAACCCTGAGTGCAAACAAATATGAATCAATAGAATAAAATGTGAGAAATTTATTTCTGAAAATGCCTTATCTAAATATTTTTTAAAAATAGTATATACTATTGTTTCAGCTGAAACCTTATTGTCCATGTTTTCTGTATAAAGCTACTATTTTTTTTTTTCTGGGCAGATAAGAGTTTATGCCAACCAAAAGACACACCCATTTTTTTTACATTATATATTGCTAGCAGTATTTGTCAGGCCAATAATTGTATTCATATTTATATTTAAATGAAAGTTATAAACATAATTATCCTAAGCATCAAAAATCCTCTCTCCATAGCATACTGTCAATCTGTAATGTAGTGCGGGTGGGGAATGAGTACTGCATATTTGTGATCTGAAGGAAATCTTGCAGAGAAATCCAAATTATCGTTTTCATTTATCTTAATGTTTATATTCCAGACTGTTACATTAGGAGTTCCAGGAGTTCCAGTACCTGATTTTCCTATGGTGCCTTAAGGTGTATCTGGTACATGTAGTTTGTAACTTCAAAAACAGAATCCTAGCATTTTCTGAATTGAGCAGAACAATTCAAAGATTCAAGTGATGCATTTAAAACTTTATCCAATTTATGTCTGAAATTATGCAATGCAACAAATACAAAGTTATATAGTGTAATGCACTCAAATGGCATTACTGATGGAAGATAATATGCTTTAGAGAAACGTCTCGAAATCTTTCCTAAGAGTTGTGAAACCCAACTGGGTTTAGCTGAAGGAAGCACTAAAATGCCAATAGTTTAGAAAACAGCTGTTCTTCTCCCCAGAAAGCAGTCTGAGAATGAATGAATGAATGAATGAACACATACACACATATAAGATAAAGATTTGATGCAAGAATTGCTAAAGCTGCCCCTCTATTCTAGAAATGGCTAAAAGAAAGAAAAAACATATATAATGATGAATTTTCTTGATTTTTCCCACCACCACCATCAGGCAGTCAAACATTTTTGCACAGCCATTACCGAATGTGATTGAATCAACACAATTGCATTTACTTGAGTCAATGCAACGTGCAAAATAATCACAACACTGCTCAGTGGCAGAGATGATTCTAGCTACAGCAAAACAAAGAATTTTAGTGCATGTAGGGGACGGGTTTGGATATTTTGAGTTTGTTTTTTGTTTTCTGCTTTTAAAGGTAGGATCTAAAGCAGGAATAAACAAACAAGCAGTTGAGAATTACAACCTATATCTGGAGTCCAAGTACTTTCTTTGACCTTTTCTGAGCAGGTGGAACATTGACAAAGTTATCCTAAACCTACTGTAACAGAAAGTATCATTCTTTTAAAATATTTTCTTAATATAATTTTTATTTAATTTTATAAAAGCTACAAAGAATAACCATTGTAAACAAAACGTATCAATTTCATTCCAAACTATTCAGTAAGAAATTGTATACTTAAAGAATCCTAAGCAATAAAAATAAAAGACAAAAGAAGATTTTATTTATTTATTTATTTGTTTATTTATTTATTTATTTATTAAATGTATATGCTGCCCATCTCCCCCAGAGGGTGACTCTGGGCAGCTCACAATTAAAATCAAAATTAAAAATAGTAAAAATATAAATATCCATATTAAATTAGCTAAAAAAAGTACTATATAAAAAGACTATATACAATTCAAGATGACCCAGAAGGGGAGGAAGAATCGATTTCCCCATCAGCCAATTCCAACAATGTGAGCCGCAATGTGAAATTTAAAAGTAAACCAAAAGCAAAATTAAAAAAAAATGCCATACCATAATATACCTCTCCTTTTTTACAATAGTAAAACTAATATTTTATATACAGTCAGTTAATTTTTAAATGACAAGTCAGTCCTAGGCCACATGAAATTATACTGTCTATTCTTGTCTGCCAACTGACATACAGCCAGCCCAGAGGCTAAGAGTTGACAGCTTTCATTAAGCCAACTTTAGAGTCAACTACCTATGCAACCTTCCAAGTATACATAATCACCCTTTTTCACAACAGTCGAAGTATATTATATACAAAGCTCTTCTTAAATAGACAAACTCCAAATTTGGGGAACATGATTCAAAGACACCTGAACATCTTTAAACCTTGACTTCACTGGTGTCCACTGGATGGGGACTGTGTGTCAGACTGGCAATATGACACATACATGTGGCAGCCATCTTACCTTTTTTGACCCATTCATGAAGAATAAAATATGGGAATCACAGTTTGGATATCCCAGAAAAAGGACGTATAAATAACAGCTTCCAAACACCTACAGCAGAACAGACCCATTATTTTGCCTACAGACTACAAGTAAACATTTTCTCCACCACAGGGCAAAGTATTGCATTCAGTAATGGACCTCACAGTGTGCTAAGCTGTGATTTACGTATGAATTATTAAAGAAACACAGTAAGCCATAAAATATGGCTAGATTCACACTACATAGTAAACTAAAACCAAACAAACAATGTTATGGCTTACCTCAATATGTAAACCTAGCCAGTGATATCACACATCATACTAAACCAGAATGTGGTTTCATTATTTTACCTTTGGGTGAATCCATCCATTATGGCTTAAGTGTCACATTCAAAGCAGGCCATAACAGCTTGTTCAACAATTTTTAAAAAATCTGGTTCGGTAATCTGCTTCACACAATACGCTAAACCATAATTTACTGAGTAAGCCACTCTGGCTGAACTCACACAACACATAAATAATGGCTTTTATAAATAATGACTGCCTAGTCTGTCCAACACTTAAGATCAAACAATCCCCCTTTTGGTTTTGTGTGGTGTGAACTAGATAATGACCCAGACCTTGGCTTTATTTATTTATCTTGCATCAGTACTGATGTAAAGTTTGTAAGGAATTTTTATTCGATTTTTGAACCCTTCTGGTAAGTTACTTGTTTTCTCCTTGTCCATGTTGTTATTTGTGTGTTAATTACCCTGAAGTGGAGATTCATATATAAATTTTCAAATTAATAAACACACGCTTATATAAACATATAGGGGGAAAAAGCCATGCAGTCCTTGTTCCTAAACAAACCCAGAGACGTCAGCGGGGCTTAATCTCAAATAATTGAAGGTATCACTACAATAACAGTTACGGGATAGTTCTCAGCTACCTGTCCTAGCCACTGGGATGGGCTTAAGACAACCGTCAGCATCCAGCGAAGAAGAAACGCAACTCCAAGGGCTGCTGATGGACCCGCACCCTTCCCTCAACACGCCCTCCTCGATAGTGGAAAGGGTAATTCTCCCCCTCCCCCGTCGCGGTTGCCTCCCAAGCGCAGACCGGCAGTGGGGCGAGAGCTGAAAGAAATAACGGAAAGAATTACAGACCACGTGAGAGAGGCCGCGTATTCGCTGAAGCTGCGCGGGAACGGGCGCCGTTTCCAGCGTCCCCAAGTCGTTTGCGCCCACGACGCTGAAGCGGGCATTTCAGCTCGGCCAGAAGCGACTTCTGCCGCCGCCGCGGCGCGCCCCGGAGCCTTCCTGCAGCCCGTTCCCTTGACCCGAGCGAGGAACGCGGGAGCCGTCGCAGTCCGAGAGAGCAGCGGCTGCCCCCGCCTGGCTCGGCTTGGGAAGAGCAGCGCCGTTGCTATTGGCTTTGCGAGAGGCGCTGTCGCTAGGGCGGCAGCTGGGCGATGTGGCTTCAAGTGGAGCCGGGGCTGCGCTCCTTGTAACCAAGGAACCAGGCGCCTGCATAGGCGACGCACGGCTCTCCCCGCCGCGTCCTCCTCGCTGCGCGCCAGCCTGCGCGTTCCAGCTTCAACCCCGGCGGAGGACGGAGAGATGCCGGGGTTTTCCCGCCTCACAGCCCCAGCTCGGCTCTAGCGGGGACGGGGCTTCCAGGTAGCCCAGGACCGGTGCCGCTCGTCGGACCTGAGGCTTTTTCGTACCACAGTCCCCGCCCTGCCCTGCCGTTCCCACCCTGCTTGTTCTGTGGAGAGCTGCGAAAGGGAGAGCGGGAGTCGCCGGAGAAGCAGACGGGAGCACCAGCCTCGTTCCTCGGCAAGCTGATGGCGTCTCACCAGCAAAACAGGATTCAAGCCTACCTGGAAAGGAACAAGATCGGGCCCCTGTTCGAGGTAAGAGCACCTCCGAGCCTCCAGCTTTCGGAGCTGGGACCGAGGCGGCGGCGGCGGCGCTCGGGTCTCCTTGGCTCTAGCCGCTCGCGCGCGCGCGGTCTGTCCAGGCAAGTGCGCGCTGGGTCATGCCAAGTTACTTCGAGTTTGCTTTAATTGAGATTGCCATTGCTGCTGGGAGCAAGCGAAGGGTCTGCGAATTGGTGATTGATGGATTGATTATGTGCCATCAAGTCGTTGCCGGCTGTAAGCGACCGCACAGATAGATTTTCTCCATGACTATCGGACCCCAACTTCAGTCTTCCAAAGGTGCACCCATTGCCGCTGCAACTGATCCCTCCACCCTGCTGCCGGCCGTCCTCTTCTTCTCTTCCGTGGCAATTGCGCGCCAGCCTGCTTTACCTAAAGAATTGCCGGGGCATAGCACGCCTCCTTTTCCCCTCTGACACATATTCTTCTTTTGCGTGCCCCTTCTTCCCCTTTCCACTCGAATCAGTTCGGGAGCACGCTCCCCTCGTCCTGTCCTGTTAAAAACGGCACAGAAAGGAGATGTTAATATTTGTACTACCAAATTCAGTGTTCCTGTCATAAGGAGTTCTGGTGGAAGACGGTGCAGCTTCTTGTGTTCTCACTTCTTTGACTCTCTTGGTCTCTTGAGACAAAGAAGCCTCACCCACAAGGAATCCGGCAATAGTACTGTAAGCTTTCTGTGGTGGAAAGACACATAAGTCTTCCTTACCTTTTAATATTATTCTTTACTTTTTAAATGTCTTCCATATATCCTTTCCTTTCTCTTTTATGCATGTGCTGCCAGAGGTTTGGTGCTTCCTGACAGTTTATAGGGTGACAGATGCCTCTCTCCCTAGTGCACAGGCATTAATAGCTCAGGCTGATCAAGTTATTTGGGCAGTTGAGACACAAAATCTCACAAGTGCAGCTCCTTATTATTAAATCACCTAACTAACAATCTCCTTCCTTTTTAGGAATGCCTGAAGCAGTTACCCCATCTACCTAATGATAGAGCTAATTCTCTAGCTTTATCTTTATCTTTTATGTTTTATTGATTTTATTGTAATTTCTTTGATTTGCCCTTCTCTGTACTTTTCCTTTTTTCCAACTCTTCAGTCTCCCATTGAATCATATCCACTCAGAATATAC